CTGGTACTTAAAATTAGTGATTAATTTTAACCTTTCTCGATTAAGATAGTGTTAGTAAATTTTAAGTGAGCAGTCGCATCAGAAATAAATATGGAAAAGTAAATTGTAGAAAGTATGGAGATATAGTTAGAGAGAGATTGCAACATAGATTTATACAAGTTTGATTCGAACGTTGACCTAATTCTGTCCCCAAGAGGTCTTCTTGAGAGTTTCATTATATACTTTGAGGTTTTAAAAGGTTGTGCCCATGAACTTTATTACAATCTAGTCTTGAGATTTTAACAGGCTTATCCCCAACCTAGAGACAAATTTTACTTCAGACTATGATATCGAACCAAACTGAGATTTATGACTGACCGCTTTAACAAAACCAAAACTTCTTTCGGCAAAGCTTAATAAACCAATAACAGAGAATTATGGTTAATCTCAAGAACCAAAACTCCATCTCTTAAAAGTATCACACCCGTAACAATAAAAATAACCAGCACAACGACTTACAAAAAATATCTTCCTCACAAATAACGCTTCACTCAAAATCAGTTAGGCAAACAAAAGTGAAATAATAAATTTTTTGGAGGAGAGGAACAAAGATAAATTTCAAAGAAACATGAAATCAGTGGAAAGTGGCATGATTTTAAGTGAAGGGGACGTACCTTTATATAGTAATTAAAATCACCAAGAAAGGAAATAATCTATCGATTGAATTGATTATATATAATCGATTAAATCCTTCAAATATAATCGAAATGATGCCTTAATAGGAAGATTTTGATATATAGTCACTACAAGACATAATTTTGTTATCTTTGCTAATTATACAATCGTTTATCAGCCTTTTAAAGGGTTATGCAAGTGTCTCAATCTATTAGATTTATGAAATCCTTGCTAATCGAGTGGTACATTTATTTAATCAATTAGGCGGTTTAAAAAGGTTTTGGATAGGTTTTTAATCTCTTATATTTGGCGTATAAAAGTCATTTTTAAGATGAAAAAAATATTTTTAAGTATGTGTGTAAGTTGCCTTAGTACTCTTAAGTTACTACCTTATTTTTACAATACTTAGTTCACTCAGACAGACATACAGACATGACTTGGCGAGCTTTCACCCTTTTCATCAAGGAAGCTTCAAGGCTTTGTTGGATATTATATTATTGTAAAAGAACTTGGTCTTGAGTTATTATAAGATGATGCTTTATTTAACATTAATGTTGCTGCAGAATGTCGTCATATGTTGTTGTAATCAAAACTCCAGATGATGATCTTTGCTACCTACAAGCACATAGATCCACAATCTCCCCATTTTTAATGATGACAACACATCTCACAGAAGAGGTGATAAAAGAAACAATATATATTATATATATATATATATATATATATATATATATAATATATATATATATATATATATATATATATATATATATATATATATTATATATATATATATATATATATATATATATATATATATATATAGAGAGAGAGAGAGAGAGAGAGAGAGAGAGAGAGAGAGAGAGAGAGAGAGAGAGATAAAAATCCCCCTGTGTTAGATAGAGAATATACTTTCCCCCTCAGAGTATACTTCTCTTCCTTTGTCAAAATCAACAAGGTAAATAAGCAGCAAGATTCAGACATAAGCACATAGTTTCACATGTATTTATTCATGCATGATTGGCTTAAAATTTCTAGTTTTGTTCTTATGAAAAAAAGGCTCTCTTTAGGAAGTGATTTGGTAAAGATGTCTGCGAGTTGATTATATGAATTTACGAAATGAAGTATGAATTATCCTTTTTCCACAAGATCCCTAATAAAGTGGTGCCTAATGTTAATAGATTTAGAACGAGAGTGAGGAATTGGATTTTTTGTGAGGTTTATGGCACTGGTGTTTGATGGGGGTAATCTGCAAGTGTGCGGAATCTGCTGTACTTTTAAACGATATTGAATCCACAGGGACCAATAATCAAACTTATTGAAACCTATTGATGCTATGTAAATCCAAGGCTAATCAAATATTTTTTTGATGAAAAAGGGAATTAAAAACAAGAATTAAAATTAAACTGATAATAAAATGTCAAGTAGAAGCGAGACCCTAATGTGATTTCCAATCGTATCTCTGGGGCTCAATAAATTCTTAGTGTCTGTATTTAGATTTTCAAAACATTTTTGAGAAGAAAATATAAAATTAGAAACATTGCTCACTCTCGCGCAGCTCGTGTTATATTTTGGAACCGTAAATGCTTTGTTGTCGTTCACTCAATTACGGCTTCAAAACACTTTTTGAAAACTGATACAATCTAATTAATCAATAAAGTGATGTCGCTGTTTTTAGAAATTAAATATAATTTTTACTATCGGGTACGGGTCTCCATTGTCGTTTGTTGACCAGTACCTTGGTGTTTTCTCTTTCGCGCAAAATCTTTTTGATTGAAACTAAAAATTAGAAATAAAAAAGTTGTTTAACATTTTAAGATCAACGCCAAAATAATTTATCGAATACCATCGGAACGAGGGTCCTCAAATCCAAAATCTTAGATATTTTTAGTCGGACATAATTGAAAACAACATACTATTTATAAATATGTCATTGAAACTACAAAACACACACACACACACACACACACACACACACACACACACACACACACACACACACACACACACACACACACACACACACACACACACACACACACACACACACACACACACACACACACACACACACACACACACACACACACACACACACACACACACACACATATATATATATATATATATATATATATATATATATATATAAGTAGTAAAGCAAGAAATTAATATAGTAGAAACTTGCTTCAATGGAGTCTTTAACTAGTATGGGAAAACTTCACGAAAAAATGCTGGAAAAATAATATCGACAAGTTTGATTAATAAATAATTTGAATACAACGAACCAATCTCCAAATTCCTAGTCTAGGGTGCCCTTATTACTCTATGTGAGCAATAAGCATTTTACAAAAGTGATTTTCTTCTTAAGCTCTAAAGGTTGGAAAATTGGATGTCAAAACTGAATTAATGAACTCATATTTATGGAGTCCAAAGTGGTGAAAACTTCTTCAAAATCGTGTGCCAGTTGGTGGAGAAATTTACTCAAAGGTTGAGAGAAATCAAGAAATGGGAAGACTGGGCATCCATACTGATCGTGTCTGGCTGACGGTCATCAGTTGGCTGATGGTCTGTCTGTCAGGCTGGATGAGGAGGCTGAAGGTCGTCAGGCCTCTGACAGCTCGTCCATCAGTGCTTCAATGCTTGAATTTTCTGCTTTGTTGACCAGCAATCCGTAACAACAATACTCTTGTCCATTTTTCTTCTGATTTTTGTTGTTTTGCATTGAGTTCTCGATCGAAGAGTCTCGGGGTTCAAATACCTTAAATACACCGAGATACTAGAGTAATACTATGAAAACAAATGAAAAATAAACTAAATATGCATGTGAATCAAGTCAAAATACGATATATATTTACGCATTATCAAACTCCTCTACACTTGAACCATTGCTTGTCCTCAAGCAAAGCGTCAAGACTTATGAAAAACGTTAGCATTTTGATACTCATTCTAGGCTACAAAGTTTGCTTTGGTTAAGATTGCATTGATAGGTACTAACTTACACACTAAGGATATCGTAAGAACACAAATATTCAATTGTACGGTCATAAGTCTCCTTCCT